CTTGCCACACCCACCTGTTACATTCTCTCTTTCAGGATTTTTTAATAGTTCTCTCTTACGTTTAATATTATATTATTTATAACCAATAGAAAGCCAAGGTTTCCATCTATCAAATTGTCAATTTCTCTGTTAGTACCAGCTTTGTTCCCACAGGAAACATATCAACTAACTTGGATGAATTTGTAATGGCTCTTGTTGCATAGCTAGAAAGCCAGAAAAATTGTGATCATTATGGGACATTATCTGCCTTTTGCATGTTATTCTTCTATGTTCTTTGATACATTGTTTAATTAAATAAAAATTATTTTGTGCATTACTACCATTAGTATATAAAAAAAAAGTAGGATTAAGTGTCATGTTTTTCATGTTTATTCTATATTTATTATTATAAAAGTAACTAAAATGTAAAAATAGGAATCTCTTTAGGTGAGTTAAGGATAGATTAAGTAAAATAAATAATAATATAACAAAAAATGTTTCAAGAGGCACGCACGTGAGCAGCTGGGAATAGCTCGTGGGTAATGTAATTCAAAAGTAGAACGTGAGCTCCACGTTTCCCAAGTGATTTACAACTTATAATGGCACAAACAGTGGTTAGACACGGTTTAAAGGGCAATAAGACAATAAAATTTAAGTATAAATAGATGTATACTGTTACAAGTTTAAAGCTACTTAGGTTAAATGAATATAGTTTCATGTTATATTTTAGTCATTCTAGAAAGGTAAAAAAAGTGTAATTTAGTTTTATTTTGACTTTTTTTTTATGTTTACGAGGTCAGTTAAATTGACCAACCTTGTATAGAGTTAGAGTAGAGAAAATAACAGATAAAATTTAAAGTTTTACGGAAAACAAACATTTGAAATGTATTTAGGAGGTTTTAGAGATTTTGCAAATGAAATTTGAGATGCAGAAATATAGTTTTAATCTTAACATAAATATCTCTTTGCACTCATATTAGTCAAGAAAAAGACTCAAATATATTCACAAGCAAATCTGTTTTTAGTGTATTAAAAATACTTCACAAAAAAATCTGTGAAAGACTTAATGTTTTATGAAAGTCTGACAAATTTTGTGAAGATATACCAACTATATTAAAAGTTAGTAGTATTAAGACTAACGACTTCATAAGAGTAAAAAGTGGTCATGTGGTCGTTCAATTTGACCATGTGGAGAGAGTTAACACATAATATTTTCCAACTAACAATGTAAATTCAAACACTTTTTGGATGACTAAGGTAAATCAAAGAAAAACCAAAGTCAAAATGAGTTTTAACTATCTCACTACGGGCTCTGTCCCAGGGACCGACCTCGTAACCATTTTGTGCTTGTTATAGTTTTCAAACTATAATTTTTAATACAGGAGCATATCTTCTTGAAATTTTACAAATTATCAGTAAACATAACATGACTTTAGTACTCAAAATATCTACTAAGTAACGATTTGCTCATGCATTTTTTTCCTTTTGAATGTTTACAATCCAAAATGCAAAGTAATTTTGATTTTAAGATTAAAAATACCTTTATGCATCAGAAAATTGTCAAATTTCAAATGTGAAATCTTTCTAACCTCCAGTTAATTGTGAAACTTTATATTTTATCTATTATTTTCACTATTTTATCTCTGTATGGGTTTGGTCGATTTGACCAACCTCGTAACCAACACAAAAAATTACGAAATAGATATAAGTTATGCTTTTATTGTTCTAGAATAACTACAAATTATAACAAGAAGCCACAAATGTTCAGTCTAAATAGCTTAGATCTCATAACATCTATATATTTTCTTTTTTTTCATTGATTTTTCAGGTATGTCTAACTAACATTACAGAAGTTGCAATGACGCGGTGCACATGCAATCATGTTACCATATCCAATAGTATAAAACTGGCCTTTACAAAGTGACCTGTCTTCAGTTTGTTCTAGTGAACCAGTATCTTGTAAAATACAGTCACATTTTGGTTATAGTACATTACATATGCATATATATTATTACTATTTATAAATAAGTTCCTAAATTTCAGTTATTTTTCTTAAATCATAGAAGAGTAAATAAAGAAATATAGAAAACAATGATTTTTTACTACATAAAAAACTTAGCAATTTACGGCAAAGAGACAAATGAGCACAAAGACTTGTCAAATTTCGTACATGGAGGATGTAAAACAAAATAATTTTTTAGGATATATATATATAAACTGAAATAATCAAGCATTATAAATTACTCCATCAATATTGTAGAATACCACTATAATTTATCAGGCTTACTAACTAAACTGTATTTGAGTTTTAAAAATATTGTTTTTGGGCAACATTTTCATTTACCATTTCCTTTGGTGATTCAAGTCAAAGGCATAATCTTGGGAACTTCCCACCTTCTAAAGACTGAGATAACCACCAGAAGGACATTCTGAGCTTTCAATTGGTTATTCACATGACATAGATATAAGTTGGTGTAAGTAAGCAAGTACTTCCAAAAATGGAAAGAGATGGGCAGGATCACTGTGTTTGATTCATCAAGTGTAGCAATATATCAGCAGATAGAAAAGATAGGAGGTTCATATTTTATATTCTATCTTGTCAATATCAGTTTGTATTTCTAATTCGTAATAAACTATAAAATTTGTATTTAGACATTACAAACATCTCATCTGAACCAATGCTGCATTCAACATACCATGAGACGCACAAAAATTGATATTTTGGATTTTTTTTTTTATATTTACATTTAAACTAAGAAATTAACTAATGTACAATACTAAGATTTGAATTATAATCTACAGTTTGATACCAAACTTATTGACATAAATTCATAAAATAGTAGTTCAATAAAATGTGGAATGCAAGTCTACAAACGTGATGACGTGCCCTTTGATCTCTGACTATAGGAAGACCCGTAGCAAGAGGGTTAATAAATTTGACATAGATCTGTGAATGAGATAAGAATACAGCTAAAACCATTATCTCCACTGAACAAGCACATTATTGATCTCTTAATACTTACATTCCAGGCCATGAAATGACTAAATCCCCAATCATTTTCCTTGCTGTAAAATAAATGTTGAATCCCTATAAAAAAAAAAAAAATTTTGATCAAAACCCATAAAGTGTAGAAGACTATCTTAATCTAGTGATCAAATCAAGATGTTAAAAACACAGAAAAATGTAATAGAGTAATACATAATAATACACATAACTGTTCTTTAAATTAAGCACACTTTGGTTTCTATTCTATGCAAAAACTAAATAAATCAAAATACCAGTTGAAATGTATCATTAAAAATGTATCATTTTGAAAATGATATCAAATTCTAGCTAAGACATCTAGAAAAAACAACAACATGAAAAACAGGGTATAATGACAGGTGTTTAATGATACAAATAATGTAGGAATAAATGACTTTCCTCAATAAGTCAACAACGATGAAGATGAACTTCTTCACATTCGAAAAGAAACTCTTAGCTCTTGCTTGATAGTTTCTAAACTTCCCACAAACATACAGCCATTGTTTGATAGTTTCTAGCATTCCCACAAACATACAGCCATTGTTTGATAGTTTCTGGCATTCCCACAAACATACAGCCATTGTTTGATAGTTTCTAGCATTCCCACAAATGTACAGCCATTGTTTGATAGTTTCTAGCATTCCCACAAATGTACAGCCATTGTTTGAT